CGAGGGGGGGGGGCCGGGCGCTGGGAGGAAAGGCAGTTTCTGGGAGGCCCCTCTGGCAGGTGAGGCCTGGCTGCGCATGCACCCACCCTCGCCCACACTCACGCCCGCTCCTGCACAACCAGTTTGGGAGGAAAGGGCAGAGCCAGAGGGCGGGGCGCCGAGCCTGCCCAACTGCCAGGGAAGGTTTGGACTTGTCACACCCACAGCCTGGAGGCAGCCAGCAGGTCACGCCCAGCTGGGGAAACAGCTGGGCGCAGGAGGGACAGGGCTCCAGACAGACAGACAGACGGACGGACACATGGGCAGACTGGGGGCCTCAGCGCTCGGGCTCGGGTGAATGAACACCTCGGGGCAGCACAGGTGTGCCCGCCACAGCCATCGCCCCCCACACCCCGGGGTGGGTGGGAAGGTCCTTGGTCTCCACTTACCACCCAGGCATCCAGGGCTCGCTCTGTGGTCTCTTCTGACTGAGGGGAGCCAGGGGCACTCACCCCAGACAGCTGGCACATTTTTAAAGTGGGCACCACCAGCAATCATGCTTCCCCCCCCCCCATCTTCCTGGCTGTCTGTGACTCCAGGGCCAGATGCAGGACATGCATGGCTGGGACCCTCCGAGGGTCTCAGACCAGCTCCAGAGGGACAAGGACTCCCTGGACCCTCCCCCAGGACCCCCATGCCAGCCCCCAGTGCTGCTGAATGAGCCCCCAGAACCCACTGCACTCGGGTCTTCCTGCCTCTCCCGTCCCGTCCCCGGAGCGGCCTGGTGGCTTTGGGAGTCGGATGGAGTGGCCGGCAGCCGTGCGGTTTATTGGCCTTTCCTCCCAGTGAGTGTCGGGAAGGTCATCTTGGGAGCTGCCTTCTTCTGGGGGGGCCCCAGAGTCTTCACGAAGGGAGGGCCCCCGTTTCCAGGCCCCCGTGCCACTGGCCCAGCTCAAGGCGTCCCTTCTCCCGTTTTGGTGGAAGGAGGGTTGAGGGCAGTCACACGGGCGTGGCGCTGGGACGTCCTGGCAGGCCTCGTGGAGGGCAGGGAACATGGGAGAAGAGAGGAGGATCTCAGCAGACTGGAGACCAGGCCCGAGGCCTGACACTGGCCACATGCCCCAGGGGACACAGCAGGCCCGAGGCCCTTTCGGCTGCATCTCATGGACCAGCCGCTGAATGTGGCCCTGGAGAGGGGACACGGAGTCACCCACCCTGGAGGGGGAGGGGCTGAGCGTGGCAGGGGTGGGGGCGGAGGTGGGACAGCAGGCGGCCGGCGCAGGACAAGGAGCAGCAGGCAAGTGAGTGGTGTCCATGTTCTGCCCCCACCACTTGGTGGGGGAGCTGCCTCGGCCCAGCCCCTCCCCCGCCTTGTTCCTGGGTGACAGTTTTCCTCTAACCCGAGCAGCACGCCTGCAACCAGCCGTTCTCGAGAAGGGCCCATCTGCTGACATGATGGCAGGGTCCAGGAGCAGCCTAACCACAGGCCTCTCATCCCAAACCAGTCAGCACACGTCCTTATCTGAGAGATTAGGCGACGCCCAGAGCCAGACTGGAGAGGCAGCGTCAGCCCCCTGTCCGCCTCCCTCCCCAGAGCTCCGGCCCCTCCCTCGGAGGCAGTGGTCACTGAGGTTGGGGCCGGGGGAGGGGGGAGATGATGTCCACACTCCAGCCCCGGGAGTGGGAGCGGCCAGGGGAGAGGCTGCGGCCCATGGAGGCAGGTGGGGAGACAGACAGGCTGAGATCTGGATCATTGGATCTTGGCCTCCCGTCCGCAGAAGCCCCCCTGGGAAGAAATGAGTGCCTTGCACGCCGGGGACTAGGGCTGATTCACGGCGAGAAAACGAGCTGGGTTCCTGGCGGGACCCTCTAATGCCCAAGCGGAGAGGGGGCCCCCCTCTCCCAGGTGGCCTGGCCCCCAGGGACAGAGGAAAGGGCACAGGGTTTAAATACGCGAGGGGAAGAGATGTTCGTTAGTTTAGGAGGCACACGCAGCAGCCGCCTGTGGCTCCTGAGCACTTGCAATGCCACCGGTGCGAGTTGAGGGGCGCTGTCCGTAAACTTCACACCGGATTTCAAAGGATCCGTATGAAAAAAGGATGTGAAATACCTCAAGGTTTTATCGATTGCATATCAAAAAGATATTTTGGATAGTTCAATGGAATGTATTTTATTTATTTTAATAATTCTTTATTGTTGAAAGTATTACATATGTCCCCTTCTTCCCACATTAACCCTCTCCGGCCTGCCCCCGCCCCAGGCCCTCACCGCCCCATTGTCTGTGTCCATGAGCCGTCCATATCTGCATACAAGGTCCTTGATTACCTACCACCCAACCACCCTCCCCCACCTTCTGAAATGTATTTTTGAAAATTGATTTCACCTGTTTCTTTTCACTTTTTTCTTTTCACTTTTTTAATGTGGCGACTGAAAGTTTGAAACAGCAGATGTGCTAGTTCTGTCGGACGGCGCTGACCGGGCAGCTGGGCAGGGCCCCGGCTTCAGCCTTCCTAGGTCTCGCCCCTGACACGTCTCCTCCCCTGGAACCAGGCAGGAGGCCAGCCCTGGCTTCTTGTCCCGCCCCAAGGCCTTCCCCTCGCCTGGCACTTGCTTCCTCAGTGGATTGAGAGGTTTGAGGTCACTCGACCCCAAGTCTCCCTCCAGCCCTGTGCCAGCCCCGACTCCCAGTGGCAGCTGACTCCCATCCTGGCCTGGAGCTGCGAGCCCACGAGGCCCATCAGAGCGGGAAGCAGCGCAGCGTCCCAGGCACCTCACACCCATGCAGCCAGGCAACAGGGTCCCAGGGCGTGAGCGACCCCGCTCTCCCCGCCAGCTCCGCCTCCTGCAGGAGAGGGACCCTCCCTGCTGAAGCAGATGTGGCGATGGTTGCCTCTGCCCTGGGAGCCCTATCTCCAGCCCCCGGGGCTCCCAGGTCGGGACAAGCTTCGCCATCTCAGGAAATTGCGCTGTTTGTACTAGAGCTCAGCCACCAGACCCTTGGAGCCCAGCTGGCTGACCACCTCCTGCCCCGCCCTCCTTGGCTCCCGAGGACAAAGGTCCCTCCACCAGCTGGGCGAGAGGACAGGGCTGTGGGGAGGGGGGTCAGGAGATGAGCCGCCTTCAGTCGGCAGGTGCCCCGGGGAAAGAGGGGCGCAGCCCCAGGGACCCACAGGGCGGGCAGGAGGGGGCTCTCTCGGCTGCCAGTCTGCCCGGTGGGTCTGATGAAAGGAGTGCTGACGGGGCCTGGAGATGTGACTGCGGCTGCCTCAGAGCGGAAGCAGCAGGAAAGGTGCTGGCTCTCCCACTCATGCCTTTTACAGGAAGCAACTCCAACAAACAAGCCAGCCAGCAAACTGCCTGTGCTGAGAGCACAGGGCTCCCGTCCTCGGTGGCAGGACAGAGAGCAGAGGGACCTCAGGAGTCCTCGAGGCCGGGCTGCCCTGAGTACCTGTCCCTCCTTGGGAACGGGTCCCTTTCCCTAGTCTTGGGCGACCGTGACGGCCCAGCTCCCTGTGCTGCAGCTGCAGGCACAGCCCACTGAGTCCAGACGTCTGCAGTCGCCCACTCAGTGAGCAAGCAGGGGCCCCGGGCCACTCTGCCACCTTGAATTACAGGGGGGACGGGGGGGGCCTTAATAGCTAGGTCTGGGGACTGCGGCCACCGTGCAGCTCAGGTCTGAGGGAGGCGGCTAG